TTCCGTGGCTACAAAGGCAAAACTTTTTCTACAAGCTTATTATTGTTATGACAAAAACATTTAAGTTTTTAGTTACATATTAATCTCATTCATAGCAAAAAATATAAAGTGTTAGCTACGTAAGCAAAAAGTTACATGGCTAACTTTTAGCTGCTCCACTTCTAGCTACGATAAGCTAAAAAAAACATTGTATTTGTAGCTAAACCATTTAGTTATGCAAATTCATACTTTTAGCTATAATGAACGCTATGACTAGAAATACATAATGTTGTAGTATAGTGCAAAAAGAAATACGCCATTTTCTGCATCATTATAAAGCCTTTTTAATGACATGTTGCCCTATCATTCGTTTGTAAAACAAATAAACAAACAAAAGTAGAACTTGTTTCTAAACCTAAATTAAACTAATCTCTCCATGAAATTATGTAATTTTTGTTCATATAGAAGAGTGGAATTGCTTCCTCACGCAAATTCAGTGTACGGATAAATATACCAAATTCCTAAATTTTTGGCCATTAATTAAAACTTGTCATGCAGAGGAAAGGATTTTAGCCCCACTAACCAATTCTTCTCTCCGGACAAAACTTGACTGGACGTCCACCTATTTCAATGAAAGTTGTCACAATGATAAAGGTCAGTGCCAGGATCATTTAAATAATCACACATTAAATTTTATATAGATGAACTGTTGATTAATCATATACATTACATGTTTGTTAAACATTTTTTGATAGATTGTTTTGAGAAACATAAAAAGTCTCTGTTCATGGTTGGGGAGATTGGAGGAACAGACAACAATTATGCACGATTTCAATGCAAAACCTTCGAGGAGGTCAAGGCCATGGTACTAGATGTCCTCCAAGCCATAATAGATGCTGCTACTGTAAGTTTTTTTGTTCTAATATCTTGTATCGATAAAATTTTATCACTGGAATTCATTCTAGTGGTAGTTTTACTCTCCTTTTCAAATGTTTGTGTTACAACTTCAAATAGTATTTCTCAATACTGATTGTTTTAACTGGTTCAGTTGCAGAGAATTATGGAATATAGAGCTCGTTGACTAATTGTTCCAGGGAACTTTCCAACAGGCTGCTTCGCGGTCTATCTAGCTGGACGCCAAACCAATGATTCTACAGCTTATGCCTAAAGAGCTTGAACAACTTTTCAATGTATCACAATGAGCGCCTTCAACAAGCCATTCAACAACTTAAACTACAATACTGTAATGTCACCATAGTATATGACAATTATTACAATGCATTCTTGTGGATTCTTTGCCATGCTCTTTGTTTGGTCAGTTAATTAATTTCTTAGACATCTCTTAATTACTATATCATTAACTACAAATAAAAATTAATAAGAATTCACGAAATTTTGATGGTAAATCAGTGTAGAAAGCTTGTTGCGGAGTTAGAGGTGAATATGATTTTAGTCTAACAAGAATTTGTGGATATCCTGATGCTCTAGTTTGTGGCAATCCCTGTGAAGGCATAAGCTTGAGGATGCGTTCATTTGACTCAGAAGGCTTATAAGATCATGGCAACTTGATTCATTAGTTACCTCTTCCCAAGGCTTCAATATTTTCATCACTTAAAGTTTTGTACAATATAATTTGTTAATAGTTAATTAATAAAAACATTTTGCTCTTGCTCTGTATTCCCTTATAATAGGGGTAAGTGTTTTTTTTTCTAGGAAATTATTCAGATAATGATCGAGTGGTTCGATAGAGATTCTTAGATATAATATTTATTTATAATTTAAAATTTAATTTAATTTAAACTTAAATATTGGAATGGATAGTTAAATTTGTATAAGATTTGCCTTGTTTATTTATAATATAAAATTTAATTTAGTTTATTATTTTAATCTAATTATTGAATTGGTTAATTCAAAAATAACATTTATTATATGTCATTGTAATAACCTATAGAATATTTTTAAATATTAGCTCCCCGCCACTGTGTAAAGTGTAAACCAAATTGTGCCCAATAAAGATAGGTATGAGGATGGGGAAATCAGAGAGATTCAAAGCGTTTTTAGCGTTGATTATGTTTCTTTTCGACGTAAATTGCTTATTGTGAGATTGAAAAATGGAAAACCTCTGAATCCAACTCATTTAATTTGACAATTTTCCAAGACCTCTTTGTTTTTGCTGTATCTACGATTCAATAAACGAGAACAACATTGCGCCATGATTCTGAGAAGATAGTGGGCACAAATAAAATACGGTGTGTTTGTCTCCTGAAAACTAAAGAAGAGGATCCAGTGAAATAAAAGATAGCAGTTAGAGTAAGACACAATTATGTAAGAGAATGTTTTCCAGGGAATTTAGGTGAAGCCATTGATAAAAAAAACTTCCATCAGATGTTCGAGAAAATGTCTCATTAACAAACATGCTTATTAAAAAGTAAATATGTAATTGGTTTTAGTGTTTTATTCTTAAAGCGTTACAATTTTCAATAAAGATTCTGTCTATAAGAATCCAAATTGACTTAACAACTGATTATTGCATGGACTTAATCCTACAGTTCTCTTGTATGCAGTTTTGATTCAATGTAGGAAAGAACCACCAGAAGAAATTGAGCGAGGGTAGAACAATATCTGCTTGATGGAATTGACAAGCGGATACCTATTCCCTTGGTTTCTTGCAGACTTGTATGAGGGATATGCATTCCTTAACGATGTAGGAAATGCCATTCTTGTCAGTTGAGGGAGGCATATCATTCCTAAAGTGTTTCTTAAAAATGTGGGGATGCCATTCTTGTCAGCTGAGGAAGGGATCTCATTCCTAACCTTTTAAACATTATGAATGTTGTAGTTTATATACTAAACTTCATCATTTGAACAAGCTCTCTCGGTTACTATCTCGCCATCTCTGCATCAAATAGGAGGATCTCATCTTTTCGTCTCCACACAAGTTAACAAGGTAATAGACTTCCAACTTGATTTTATCTTTTAAATATTCTTCAATTTTAGCTTAAATTCCATGTTTCTGCAATTTAAACTTTGTTTATATGAGCTTCTACTCTATTTTTATTTTTTTATTTTTTTTTAACTGAAGTATTATATAGCTTTTGTTCTGTTTTCTTTGGCTGCGGTTTTAGATTATGCAATTACATTAATTTTTGCATTCTGAAATTTGTTTGGTTAACATTGGCTAGAAATTACCAGTCTCGTAAAGAACTCTGCCTATACGATTTCCTTAAAACAGTTCATGATGCAGAGAATATATTATTAATATTATTTAGCATATTTTTCCTATTTAATAAAATATTAATTAGGAATAGTTTTTAGTTTTCCTTTTTTACTTAGGATTCCCATTTAATAAAATATTAGGAATATTTTTCAGTCTAGAAATAGGATTTTTCCTAACTAGTATAAATAGGACAACATAGTCAGTTTATTGTAATATTTTCTTTAATTCAGAATTTTAATTCAAAGGTTTTCTTTAAACCTAGTTATTTTCCATTGTTCCAACCACAATCACCCTATTCTAGCCCTAATTGTTGAAGATTTAATTTCCCTACAACTCTTCTGCTACGTCAGTTCAGGTCATAGAATTTGACATACACAATCAGTGTTCTGATAGCATACCTAGAATTAAAGTTATCTAGCTGTTTAGGTTGGAGTTCTGCAGTAGAATTGTAGTGATAAACCCAGTGAATTAGTGACCAACAAATTATAAGTTGAAAACCTTAGAAGCACAATATCTGGATGTAGTTATTTGAAAAGAGCTCATCTCATTGTATGAAATAATAAAAAGCTAAAGTAGTAGGATTATGAGAAAAAAAAAAAAAAATAATAGTAATAGTGCATGTAACGACTACAACTATCCGCAAAAGACTCAAGCAAATCATTGGAACCAGCAAAGAAATATTCTGAATCAATCTAAAATCCTACAAACATACATCCATCTCATTTTCTTTTTGACTAGGGTTCTAACCATCATCAATTACTTGACTATTTTAGAAAGTGGAGCCTACACTTTATATATATATATATATCAAATGCACTTAATTTTTTTTATATAACTAATTTTGTAATTTAAAGTTTAATTATAATTTTGAACTTAAATCCTATATTTTAAATCTTGAGGGTTTTTTATTTTATTTTTTCTTCCACATTTCACATTTGATTCCATTCCCTCAAGATTCCTTGTTATAACCAAACAATGAAATCTTCTTCATTTCCTTCTTTCATTCCATTTACATTTCTATAACCATTCCCATTCTATTCCATAAAAAAATATATGACATGAGGGCTTGTATTGGTCAGTTTAATTAGGATTGAGGATTAGGTTTAAAAAATAATATTCTTGGATTAAAAGGCGTAATCAAATTTATAATAATCCAATCTCAACAACGAAAGTAGGAAATAGGAATAGCAATGGACCTCAAAATTACTTGAAATACATCTTTTTTTGTTGACATATTTACTCAGTCAAACATAACCAGATTATCAAATACTCGTTTCCCATTGGCATCATTAAAGCTAGGAAAAAAAATCTTGAGGTTGTGTTTGGTTTAGGGGTGTTCGATTCCAAGTACCCTACATTTTTGGAAGGAACCGAAATCGGAATCGGAACCAACGGTTCCTTAAATTTTGGAATCGGAATCGGAACCGACGGTTCCAGTTCCTAAATACCCAGAACTAGAACATGTAAAAACGGTTCTGGTTTCGGTTCCGGTTCTGGGTACCCTGTAAAATTCATTACTCCCCCCCAAAGTCTTTAAAATGACAAAAAAACTCTTAAAAACTTACAAATACCCCCCACCTGGCACTTGTTAACAAAATTAAAATTTTAAATTTTAAATTTCAAACTAAAAAATTAAAATAATCCATTGAAAATCACAAATTCAAAATTAAAATATTACAATAATCCTTTGAAAGTCACAAATTCAAAATTATAAACTCCAAAACTAAAACAATGAAATTACATAACGTATAAAATAAGTAACATAACAATTAACAACATCCAAATATGAAAAACTGAAAATATCTCATGCTTCATGCTCTAAATTGCTTGCCTCATGTGCATTAATTTCTACAAAATAAATACAAGAAAATCAATTAGTAAGTTCAAAATATTGAATACAATAATTTGGGAATAAATTAACTAAATATGAATATAAAAGATTAATATTATTTTTTTACCTGAGTCATAACTTTCTGCATCCATCAAGTAATCCTCAAAAGTTGTTGGGGTATATGCATATCTCAACCAATCTTGTGCACAAACTAATGCTTCCACAATGGGTGTACTTAAAGAACTTCGAAAGTGATCAAGTACACGACCTGATGTACTGAAAGCTGACTCAGAAGCAACTGTAGATACCAGAATAGGAAACACATCTCTTGTTATATACGAGAAAACCTTATACGTTGCAGCATTTACTTTCCACCAATCTAGTATGTTCAAGTTGGACTTCACGGGTAGACATTTCTCCTCGAGGTAAATCTCTAACTCTGATTTTGTCATATCATGAACCTCTACCTCCATTTCCTCCTCATACTCGTCTAAGGAGGGGTCGCACTCAATATCATCACAACTCACACCAGTAACTGAAGAATGGCTAATTCCAGTAATTTGGGAAGAACAAGAAATTTGGCTTTCTTAGAAACTTGCTACAACCTCCACATAAAAATCATACAACCGTTGTAACAAATCTCTCAACTTTCTTGACGTCAACCCAACCTTTTGCAAATCATTACCATAAATCTTTTTGTACCCCCACTCCACATATTTCATTTTAAATCGAGGATCTAAAACCGTTGCAATCAATACCATCATGTTCGATCTATCAACACTTCCATAATACTTATCAAACTTCTCTTTCATTTTCTTTGATATGTTGTTAAGTATTGAATTTGTGTCTTTTTCCCAGTCATTCAAAAAAAGCACAATACCAATTGTCTCTTGAAAGTAATTGTCAGAAGTCACATAGTTTGACCTTAACATTTTTTTTGTAGCTTCATAAAATTTTCTAAGGAATTTAGCAAATACATTTGCTTTTTCCCAATCTTCGTTAGAAGGTGTATCATGTGACAAACCCGCAATGTAGGTGGGATCTTCATCTTCCAACCTCTGAAAAGCTTTCTTGAATTTTACTGCAACATCTAACATCAAATAGGTGGAATTCCATCTAGTAGCAATATCAAGACACACACCACCTTTATAAGCAATCATTTCTTCTTTCACACTTCTTCTTTCACACATCTCTGAAACGTTTTAGCTTTAGTAGGGGAACTCCTCACATACTTAACCGAATTACGAATTCGACTAATATAATCTTTTGTCTCACTAAGACCATCCTTCACGATCAAATTCATAATATGAGCAATACATCTCATATGGAAGAACTCACCATCCAGAAGTAGTGCTAAGTTGCCCCTCAAGTAAGCGATTGCCATGTCATTAGCACCAACATTATCCACTGTTATAGTAGACACTTTATCTTCAATACCCCAATAAAAAATGCACTTCTCAACCACTTTGCCTATCTCCCTTCCCTTGTGACTACTAATAGGCACAAAACTGAGAATTCTTTTATGTATAACCCAATTCTCATCAATGTAGTGACCAGTGAGACGTAAGTAGCTAATATTCTGAATTGAAGTCCATATATCGGTAGTCAAAGCAATCCTAGACTTTAGAGACCACAACTTACTTTTCAGTAAAACCTTCTCATAATCAAAACGTTTCACAACATCCCTAGCCAATGTGATGCGAGAAATATTTGACCACAAAGGTTGCAATGAATTTGGAAATCTCCTAAATGGTGGCTGCTCCACCATTCGAAAAGGTTCTTCCATAATAATAATCATTTCAGCAAGCAACTGCCTAGACACCTCTTGATTGAATTTCCATGTGTTAATCGTACTACTTTCCTCTCCTTCTTCGTTTATCTCATGGCTTCTATCTACATTGCTTGGGCATTTCTTATAATTGGATAAATGCTTACTCATAGAAGAAGTTCCATTCATTGCATTATACACCAACATCTTTCCATAATACGAACACTTCATTTGGTCTGCTATGCCGATTGTCTCATTGAAAATTTTCTCAAAGTGTTGCCACATGTCAGATGGCTTATGTTGTCCATGCACATTTGAGATAGACTCTCTAACAATATTAGGCATATCCTCCCCAATGTCAATGTTCTCTCTATTTAATGACATTGTTCTTGCAAAAAATTTGCCAAGTTCAACTTCAAAAGAATTTAAAATACATATAATTTTTATATATGTAGTGTTTATGTGATATTATGCCATTAATAAATAAAAATAGTATTTACATGCTTCTTAAATGTTTTAACTGACTTAACTACCTAACTTTTTCATGCCAAATTCTAAGGTTGTGTAGTGAATGTTACATTATCACCATCCTTTGGAGGGTTCAGCAGTTGGTTGTCTAAATGAATATCCTTAAATATCTTAACATATCAACATAATACACAGTTGTGAGATTTCTTTTCATAAAACATCCAAGCAAAATTGAGACTAGAGTCACTGTCCATTAATGCTTGATTTGCTTTACATGGATTATTCCTAAAGGAAATATTGACCGCCTTTCATCAAACCAATCAAATAAATGGATCATGTAAAAGTTTGGTCTCCTGTCATATGACATATAAGCAATTAAAATACAATACTTTTATAAATGGTAATATCACACACACACACACACACAAATTAAGACAAGTAATTGAGAAGTATGTATATTCACAAATTAAAACACTTATGCTCTGAAATAGAAACACGTTTTTAATAGAGCATAAAGATACATTGTAGATTCACATATATAGATTGTAGATTCAAGTCTATCTTCTTCACATATATAGGTTCAAGTCCATTGCAATCACTTTTATCCATAACACATAAATGAAGAACCAAAATCCATATAAAAACTTTCTGTTGAGCATTATATTGAACACATTGCATCTGCATATTACTGAAACTGAAGAAATTAAGTGTTAGAGTTGAAATATATTTAATCAACAACAACTGTGATAGTCAAATGCTAAGAAAAACAAGACAACTTTTTTCTCTCTAATATTTCCTTTTTTAAAGTTTTTTCCTTTTGTAAACTTTACATACCACCAAGCACCATGTTCAAATATCGTCAAACTAATTCCCTTTTTTATCTTAATAAAACCAAGCATGCATGTGTCTTTTAATTTTTCAGGGAACATCATTATTTGCCTATCTGTGGTATTATATCATCTTAACATTCTTCTTTTTATTTAAATCTAAATTTGGTGTTATATAGCCAGGATATACATATACTTACAACTAGATTTTTCACCTTTATCAATTCTTGGTTGGTTCATGGAGATTTCTTTGAAAAGCCTGACCCTAACCCAATTGACACTAACCCTATTTGAGCAGAGGTCCAGCCTGGGAAGGTCTACAATTTAGTCCAAATTTCAAATAAAGTGGAAGTTTGGTTCATGATTCAAAACCAAAAGAGAAAAGATATATATATATATATATAAAAAAAGGCATTTGCTTCAAAAAATTGAAGGTTAGTTTTTAGACTTTAGGTGGTCGTATTTTGGATCCCATATGATTAAATTATTCACACAGTATGTCTGTTTGTCAATTAGTATTTGCATTATAATATGCAGACGCAATGTGTTCGATATAATGCTCAACATAAAGTTTTTATATGGATTTTGGTTCTGTTGGTCAAATAAAATTCAAAAATAAAATTAAAAGAAAGAAATGGAAATTACCTTAAGAAATTAGAGTGCTTTAGTGTCTTCTTCTAGATTCCAAAGATCATGCTTTAGTGCTTTAGTGTGATGTGAGGCTCAGAAGTTGTGTGTGTGAATGAATAGAGAGAAAGAGCAACATAGACGTGAGTGAACAGAGAGAAAGAGCGACATAGACGAAAGAAACAATGAATTTTTTTGCCCTAATCTGAACTTTTTATATGTGGCAGGTAAATTACAAAAAACCCCCCACTCCTTAATAATATTTCATTTCAGTCCCAGTTCTTGGTTCTAGTTTCAGTTCTTGACTATAGGAACCGGAACCGAAACCATACAGTGTCGGTTCCAGATTTTTGGAACCAGAAACTACCCATTGACAATCGGTTCTAGGTAGGAACCAGAACCAAACACCGGGTACCCAACGGTTCTGGTTCCAAACGGTTCTTTTGAACACCCCTAGTTTGGCTAGGGTTATGGGCAAATAACTCATGTTATCTATCTTTGATTCTAGACATTCCTTTGTTTGGTTTGACAGTAATATAAGATTACGAGAATGAAACACTCCTAATAGTGAATATTGTTGGTCATTTTAGGGGTTATTAGATTACCTAGTTCGGGGGTGTTAATCTTTTTTTATAGGGGTTGTCTTTTTTTTTTTTTTTTTTTAAACCAAATTTGACATTAAATAAAAGCCATTTTAGACTAAATTGTCCTCAAATGTCTACCAAATAACAATTAGCATAGACCCCCTACATTTGAGATTTTAGCTAAAACACTCCAACCACAAAAAAGTTTAAAAGTTAACAAAATACCCTTATCCATCAAAGACCACCGCCGGCTACTAGCCAGAACCACCGGCCACCAGAAATAGTCGCCAGATCGACGCATGACTGGCGAGATTTGGCCTTCCTTGAGCCGATTTGTTTGTTTTTGGCCATATTGAAGGCCGAAAACGACTAGATCGCCATGGATTTTGCCCAAAACGGCTAGAACATATCTAGCCATTTTTGGCCGTTTCTAGCTAGATCCACGATGATCTGATTGTTGTTGGCCTTCAATCTCGCTGGAAATAGCCAGATTGGCATGGATCTAGTTGGAAGCAGCCAAATCGCCATGGATCTGGCTGGGAACAGCTAAAACGGTGAACGGCTGGCCAAATCTCACCGATCATGCCCCGTTTCGATGACGGGCTTCAGCAGCCGGTGGTGGTGGCCGATGGTCGGCGGTGGTCTTGGGTGCCTGGGTGTATTTTGCTAAATTTAAACTTTGTTGTTAGGTGTTTTAGCTACATTCTCAAATATAAGGGGTTAAATGTGAAAGAAAATGAAACCATTGCTGAAACCATTTTGAAAAAGTTTTTGGACAAGTTTTATCAAATATAAATAACCAAGAATGTGTTGTATGTGATAAACGGAAAGTATAAAACCAGGCCTTTTGATAATCTTTATCTAAAAATTCTTGAGGAATAAAGGTTTGAGAAAATGGGCCTTTTTTTTATAAATTCCAATACGCCAATCTTGTAGTCTTAAACTTTTTTTATTTTGAATTTTGTAAAAGCATTTTTATTTGGATCATTTCTATCTGGATTATGGGTAACTTCAATTGAATCAGTATCAACTAAAATAAATTCATAAAAGGTTATTGTTTTTAATAGATCATTAGGAATAAAATAAAAATCTGGAGGAAATTTTTTTGATAAGGTTTCTTGAAGAGTTTATCCCTAGAATTCGGGTTCAATAATACAAATTGATTGGGTTGTTTTTTTTTTTTTTTCCCAATGTATTGAAAAGTTGGATTAATGTTAATAGGTTTTGATGGAGAAGGTGAATAAGATGTTGCTATTATAAGGGCTTGCTGGTAATTTTTTGGTGGTGATGAAGAAACAGATTCTTCATCTAGAAGAGTGAACCGATTTGGTTGGGTAATAATAGTTTTATGTTTATTGAGTTTTGAAGGTTTTGATTGTGGGGTAATAGGTAGTTGAGGTGGTAACATTGCATACGTTGCTTTTGATTTTTGATTATTTTGTGGTTTGATAGGAGTGCCCATCTTTTCCTCAATTTCTCTCAAAAATATCTTGTCTTGAAAGTTATTATGAGAGAGCCTATTAGAGTAAAAAGTTTTTGATTCTTGCATTTTATTGAGAACATGATTTTGAAAATTTTTAAATTTTAATGCAAAAAGTTTAAAACATGTTTTTGTAATGCAAGCTTCCAAAATTTTCCTAGCATCAAGCCATTCTCTTGTGGAAACAATCTCTAGACTCTCTAGTTTAGTAATAGCATTTATCCTAAATATAGAAATATTTTTTAAATTACTAATGTCTTTTACTAATGGAGGATTAACAAATTCAAATGTTATTTTTTGTCCTAAAATATTTGTTGTGATTCCTTTATTATTTGAGGTAAAAGGGTAAATTTGAGTAATAAAGGGGGTACCTAATATAACATTTTGATCTAAATCTTTTGCTAGA